GGAAAGGAGTGAGACGGGGAGAGAGAGATACCGCCGCGGGAGCGTGTAGGGGAGAAAGATCGGAGAGACCGAGGTCTGGGAATCGTTTCATGCACTGGCGAGCACGAGCCTTCGCGTAATAACGCGATCAGAGGGCAGCCGTGTCTCACGCGTGCACGCGCTTTTCGCGCGTACCATAAACATAAACACGCGCGAGCACTCGCGGCGAACCACCAACCCCCGCGACCGTATTCCACCGAATCGAGCATATGCGTGCACAAACGTCGGCCGTAATACGTCCTGTAAGCGACCGTTTTATTTTTACGCGTCTATTGCGCGCTGTCTTCTCACATCGACGACAGTACACCGGAGTCTCGATGATCCGTGTGATTTCGTTTGATCCGGGAGATTCGGTTAAACTCGAGGAGGGTCACGGTTCGTGAAAGATCCTCGTAACGTTTTCGAGATACAGGTGTCTCCAAAGGATCTCGCTTTAATCCTTGACGAAACCGTGTGTACAGGGCATTACAGGGTGGTCCACGCAATTTGTTCACCCTCAATAACTTGTAAAGTATGCATTGTATGAAAAAACTTTTTATAGAAAAGTTGTATGGTTTGGAGGGATACATTATGCAATGCATATATTTTTTTTGTAAGCGCAGGCGTTTCGGAGATTCGAAAGTCAACTTCGTTTTTTGTAAATGAAATACTATATTCTTTATATGTATAAAGAGAATATCTAACCTACCAAAAATTTAAAATCAAGATAACGATCATCTTGCTAAAGAGAAACGGGGGTAATGAATATTACAGATTTTAAAATAACATAGAACTACGTTGCCGGTCACGAATGTGTTAAAGGGTTAACCATCCTTGTACGGTCTGCCAAAGCTGGGTCAATGGTGACTCATCGCAAGACTTTCGAAATATTCGCTTCGTCCTCGTATAAACGGTAATAATCCGGTGATTGTAGATACCAACAGGTCGCCAGTGGCCCGGCCACAGTAAACGCAAGGGTTAACATACTATCGATCAAAAGTATACATAGAGTCCCGGTTCCAGATGGTTTTTCTTCTTAACAGAAATATACAAAGTCGCTGCACAGGGAAAGCGAAAACAGAGACAGAGACAGCGACGCGCCGGGGTGGCTCTATACGGAGGTTAAGGGGTGTCTGAACGAGTAGTCGCCAGGCGGTGCTCGCTCTCGCGCGATAGAAAACGTCGAAACGCAACGAACGCAACGGAAAGCCCCGTGTGTTAATTAATGCCACGACCGCCCGGTATCCAGTTCGACTAACATAACGCGGCACTAATTGCGGAAGGAAAAAAACGGAGGGAAAGTGGAAAAAAAAATTATAACGAATTCCCCGGGAAAACAAACTCTCGTCGCGTTCGCGATTTTTTACCGCCCCACACACATCCCTGCTTCGACCCTCGCCCATCCACCACTCTGTTCGCCAGTGGCAGCGGCGGCGGGCGCGCAGGAGCACGCTCGATGCGTGCTTTGTGCGACATTTTGCGTTTTCATCGAGGCATACGGAATACGAAAAGGTAGAACAACCACCGCGCCACGCGAGAAAGAAAGGTGGCAGATTACAGGAGGCAGAGAGCGATAGAGGTTGGTCGAGCCTGCTGGTGCCTGCTATTGTACCTGTGTGTGCACACACGCGGGTTTGTTCGTCACGTGGAAAATGTGAGCGCAGCCTATGGCCCTCCTCTATCCTGGGAACAATGCCGCCTACGATGGGTGCACCATTTTCCGTAGGAGAACAGGAAAGGGTCGTCATAGAAGGGGAGAGAGAGAGAACTTCTACACCGCGCATTTTCTCCCCCTTTCATTTGTGATTTCCTCTTTTTTCAAGTAGAATCGCGTATATTCCGCGGGCCAGACTCGCCACTAGACGTAACTAACATTTCTTAACGAATCCGCTATTACAGAAAGGCGCGAATAATTCGTTAACCTGCGAATGGAATTCGACGCCCTTATGGCGAGACATATTACGTCGAGGCAACTGAACGCACCGATGACCGACTGGAAAAGAAGTTACCGATTCTCTGAAGGTAATTCTATCCTTAACCCTCTAAGCTAAGTCGTAATGGGACTCCTATGTCCTATATCAGAAATCAATGATTTTCACATTATCGTGCATTCTAAACGAGTAACTTCCCCCCGGGCTTAGAGGATAAAAAGTCGATGTCTGTTGGTAGTGATATACCGTTGAATCGATGGTCCAAGTAATTCGATAGGTTTCGAAGTGTATCGTGTTTAATATTCATGGAAAGATCGTGCGAAGTAAGGTGGAAAGTGCACCGAGAGGGATCGAGGTCACTCGGGAGAACGACGAAGAAACTAGACACGCGGCGTACCACCTCGACTTCCGGTCGACGCTCGGCTTCGACAGTTTATAAAGATGCTTTAATTGGAAGTGGCTGCAAAATTCGGTGTACTCGTTTTTGTACACGGTGAAACGACTGAATATGTCGGAGGCGAAACGGTTTCGCAACGGAAGGCACATTTTGATGCATTCGCCGATAGAACTGTTCGGACAGGCACTGTAACACGTGCATAAATATGAATATGTGCCTGCGGATGGAGCTATAGATCGGTCTGCTCTATTTTCTGAATAGGATTCGAAGTAGATGTCGAGAACTTGTCACTCGGTGATTTATACATTTGTCTGCGCCCGAGGACGAGGTCGTTCTCCATTCCATCCCCCTCTTCCCCTCTACCCGCCACGGCTCGTCTCTTAAGTCTGTCAGGTGGAAACGATACGGAGTGGGTGTCTTTTTCCCGGAGCAAAATAGGAAGCAGAAAAATCAGTGTCCTGCGAGGCTAGATTTCCAAGGATAAAGAGCTCAATCAGCCCAAAATCTTCCAGAACGGAAACCGATCACGATCGAAATCAACTTTTCGCAATAAATCAACCGTATTATTTAACCTATCCTCGTTCCACTGGACACGGTGAATCTCGTTGGAACGATAAAAAACGAAAATTTGTTAAAATAACACGCCACACGAGGAGACAACGCCGCAGATGAGTCTCTCCCCCCCCCCCCACTCTCTCAGTCACAGCAGTGACGCAAACACGAAAAGTGACAAGTCTATTTTTTCTGCTGACCATACTCTAAAAACAGAGAAGAAAAAAAGGGTGATGAAAATAACAGTTCCAGCGCATTCTTGGCCAGTTGTGTGTTTTGCCCCACGAAAGACCTACCGTCATCCAAACACACAGAAGAACCATCGGAATGCCGTTCGATCTCGCGCCTACGGTAAGCCCCGTTAGTAACGAGATTCGTAAAATCGTAAATGTCCGCGGTCTGCCAAGTCACCGAGTCGACGGTGAAATAAATGTCACACGTGTAAATACTTAGTTGTGCGTTTGGAAAGAGTACCGTCTCGAAGGGTATAGCTACACAAAAATAAGTGTAACAACCTTCGTCTCGAAACTGGTGTATATAATCAAAGTCGTTAAGTCGCGTAAATCGCGCTAATTTCGTTTCCCGTCATAGGAGAAAGTAATCCACGCGTTGTTCCATGCGGTGTATTGCACACTCGAACGGGGGACGGACCCGTTCGAATGAAACGCGACATCAAAAGCGACGGAAGTCTGTCGAGAGAAACCGTATATAGAAGAGGGTTACGCGTGCTAGGTGGTTAGGACCACCGCTCGTTAACATCAGCTGTGCGCGCTCGCTGCTTAAAAATAACCTCTCTTCCTAATCAGACCGGCACACAATCGCTAAATTAACGACCAGGCAGGGACGCCCCTCACCGACCGGAAAACCATCTACAGCCTCTAAATACTCGCCGCCAGTCGACGTAGCTGTGAGGACTATTACGGATTCCTCGGGTTCCGGAGATCATCGAGGATCGTTCGGCAAGAGAGTGAACAGTCCGTCTCGACTTCAAGCGGATAAGTGAACCGTCGCACAGCCGACTAAAAGACACTAACCAACTAGACAAAGAAGGATACCGTTCACGAAACCGTACTGGTACGTCTTTCCGAAAACAAAAGCTGAGATCGGTTGATGTAGTAGTATGTCTTTCTTAAATAAGAACTAAAGTAATAAAAAAAAAGGCGAATAATCGCTTTTTCTATATGTAAACTTCGACAAATAAAAGTTAAATACTAGTTTCTAAATATTTTTAGAACACCTGAAGTTGTATATTTGTATACGCAAGAACCCTCTCAGCAAGCAAAGTGTGAACACACCATCATCCCACTATTATATGGCGGCGAAACAACACGAAACCCACCCGCCATTATCCACGAACTAAAGCAGTCCAGTGTTCAAAATTTCTGAATCTTCTATGATCTAACTCCTTGATCCGAATTACACACGTTTGACTAATTTATTTAAAAGGTTTTACACGTTTTTTTTTTTTTTTTTTTTTTTGGACTTCACCGCACGCCAGACGAGCATATTCAGAAGGGAAAAAACCATCCGGGGGAATTGTTACGTAAACGGAGGCTATAGTCCGCTGTCCCAATCAGTTAATGTACGGGTTTCGTTGAGTCACTCGACCAACTAACCAGCGATAGTAATCGGTCGATCCCTTACGATGCACGTTTATATAGGACAGTCTAGCTGCCCCCCCCCCTCCCACAGCTACTTTCACGATTTACGTCGTAAGCCTGTTATTTATCAATTCCTGAGCCAAAATACACGTCGAACCGTATGGGGAGGAAACCAGGCCAGACCTGCCCCCCAGTAATCCGGCAAAATTATTCCATACTGGATCCAAGAACAACAGACATCCGATTTATAGATGAAATTTGTAATTACGCTCGGGAATCTCACGGCTCTCCGCCAGTGTTGTGTCTAATTCAAGAAACCCAAGGAGTTTCCTCCTTTTCGTCGAGTTATTCACCGTGCCCGGAGAAATAACAAACACACACGTGTCGCCTCGCATGGTATTCCTCCGGGGCAAAAAAAAAATCTTGGATCTTTCATATCGCGGTCTCGCGCGTCGAGACTGATGTCGACAGACGAACAATAAAGTCGAGAGGTAGACTCACCTGAACATCAAAGTGTGTGGTGGTGTCTTGCGGCTGCGGGGGTCCCTGTTGCTGTTGCGATGGTTGGGAAGGCGGAGGGCCCTGCGGTGGTGGCGGAGCTTGCGCGCCAAAGAGCTGCGCCGCGTGAGAATGAGGATGTTGAAGATGATGCGTAGGCGGCGCCTGATGATGTTGTAGATGATGGGGCGGCGCCGGGGCGAACGCAGCCATGAAATGCTCCTCACTGCCGACCACATCGACCCCAGGTTTCAGTAACACCACGCCGCCACCACCTGTGCTGACCGCCAGAGTGGCCGCGGCGTTCTTCTGGAATTCTTCCTCGCCGGGTGATGGCTGACGGCTTCCCGGTGTGCGACTGTAAACAAT